CGCAGTGGTGGCCGTGCAGAAGAGAGCCCACAAGCATTCGTCCTTCCCGCTTGCTGGCTGTTTGCTCCTCCTCTCTGGGGTGCTGTGGTGACATAAGGGACTTCCCCCCTCGTTCTTCTGTGTCCGATTTTGCGTTAAACAGAGGATTTCGACATTTTACATTCATTGCTTACTTCCACATGCCTTTTCTCCTCTTTATCTCTTTCATAACTTTATATGTAATACATGTTAACGGCGTCAATAGCCACTTTAATGATACTACTGGACGGTAGTCCCGGATGACGTCATGAAGGATTTTCAGAATAAAAGCTTGGTATTAAGATTGTGAGAGAACTTCCGTTTTTTTTTCAGAATAAAATAGCATTTAAACTGACGGTATGTTTTTAACTAAATTATGCCATAAAACATTGATTTTAATATCTAACAGTACAAACACACTGCCTGAGGAAGGTTAGGCTATGTGTATGTGTTTTTTGTCATTAACGTTTTTCGGACCACTTATTTATTTATTTTGGTGACGATCCGACCTCCATGCTGCTACTCTGGTTCAAACTGCATCCACCAAACAATATGATTTATCTCGACCTCCCCAAAATAACCAACATCTGACACGGTGTGAGATGTCTTTTTTAGCTGTTCTGTCGTCATTTCCTGCTATCTTCTTCATGCAGTCAGTCAAAATGAATGAATGAATGGGCGTTTCTTTGACTATGTATAGGCAAATATGGGCGTTACGTGAAGCCCGCAAAAGCTGCCCCGCAGTTTGAGTTGATTGTGATTTATAAAGGGAAACCGCCGTAGGATGTGCCGTACGCAAGTCCTGTGCCGGTACGCAATCTTTTATGAATCGGAAAGTGTTGGTGCGTATTTATTTGCTTTGTCCTACGTAAGCAACCTTCCCACGCCAATCCTACGCAAGGCTTTATAAATGAGGCCCCTGAGCTCAGAATCATCCTACTTTGAAGTAACACTGATTCGCCATACTTTAACATAGAAAAAATATCTTAAGTTTAAACGGCTCTCCAGATTCTTAACTTTATTGGACTAAACGTTTTTTTTTTATATAGACGGAACGGTTTTCCTAAAATCACAGTTTAAGTTTTGGTATATTTTTATGGTTTTTCAGATTTTATAATGGGTGTGTGTGTGACGGAATGCTCAGAGTGGATGACATCATCACTTAGAGCAGTGGTCACCAACCAGTCGATCGATCAAGTGCGGTGCGGGTAGATCGAAACAAAAAAAAGAAATGTTTTTTTTTAAATAACGTTTTTAGATGTAAGCCTATCATCCACCACCCTGTTAGCAGGTGCCACTTGATTGACGTGTCTTTGAGACATTCCCTGTCGCTCCCGAAAATAATAGTCTGACTTCAAGTGATGCTGCATATTTCTGAACTCACTGCACTTATGGTAGATACCAACTACAACAAAATGAACATATTTTACCGTGGTTTAATTATAATACACGTTTCAAAATGATGCCGGAATAACTACATACTGATACCGGTTAGTAAAAAAACATGAATTAATGCTTTGACAAGCCTGCAGACAAGACGGCAGGCGAAAAACCTTTTATAGGCGTGTTGTCTGAATGGAGATCGGATCGATTAGGCTAAACTAACGTTGTATCTGCTCCGTCCACACTCATAACAACATGATACAGATACAACAGCGACTGTTGTATTATTATTGTAAATAACTAGTTTTAATGTTAAATGTTGCACTTGCATGAAGCTTCAGTGGATAAGCCTCACAGTTAAAATTGCTCTTTTTGTTATCTGCTCACTGCAAGATATTGTTTTTTTCTTTGTTGTTGCTGCTGTCAACAAAATAATGTACTCATTCACTCAAACAAATGGAAAATAAGCTACATACATTTATATTTAGGATTGTAATGAAGGAATGAATTAAACTTAAAATGATAGGTATGATGTAAATATATATATATATATTTATCCTTTTTGACATGTTAATTATGTTGTGTTCTTGGTTCAATCAAATTGGAAGTTGCACCAAATAATTTGATGTAATTGGAGGTACTGTCTGGGCCGTCTTTTTCACTCAATTCTGCAATAGGTAGATCTCGCCTTTCACCAAGGCGGGATCTTGGGCTTAAAAAGGTTGGTGACCACTGACTTAGAGAGTAGAGGTGAAATTGACTTACAAATCTGGCCCCAAAGTGACGTTGAGTGACCAAAACTCCAGCTGCCTCACCCATATTTTTTAAAAACCCAATCACCCACGTTATAGCCTGTTCTGATGATTCTGATTTAAGTATTTATATGAATTAAGAAAACCAGTGTAATACAAAAATACCCCTTAAATGTAATCGTCTATATTTGACTTTTTTTGTCATTTTTTTTACCTGTAGATGAATAAATGCTCTTGATTCTGTGTGTTTTGCAGGGGGTGTCGTTCATGCTACGTCCCGGCGAGGTGACGGCCATCGTGGGGCCCTCGGGGAGCGGGAAGAGCTCCTGTGTGAGTCTGCTGGAAAACTTCTACCGTCCGCAGAGAGGAGAAGTTCTGCTGGACGGAAAACCTGTTCACACCTATCAGCACGACTACCTGCACTCCAAGGTCAGAACAACAAAAAGACCCATAGAGTGACTGTATCCTCACAGAAAGCTCAGGAAGAGGCATGTTTTTCAGATTAAAAGTACCAACAGAGTTACTTTATCCTTAATCTTTGTTTGGTGGCGTGATCATTATTCTTTAGAGTCATTGCGTGCCTATTGATTTGAACACGATCCATGTATCCATCATTTCCTGGTCTTCTCTAAAGAAGAGGGACCAATGGAAACGTTGTCATGTTGCCGTTGTTCAGCATGGAAACATTCATTAGCTAACAATGACATTATTGTTCTATTAATATAAAGGGAGGTCAGGTACTCTTTAAAACAGCTGCTAGCTATGGGTACTTTTTACTGAAGTACATTTCAAAGCCCATACTTCTGTATCTGTACTTCTACTTGATTAACATATGTGTGTACTTTTGCCATCTCTGGTTATGGATGTTCTTTTCAAAAATAGTAAATAGTAGATCATTCCTCCATGTTGTTGTTTGCAGATCGGTCTGGTGGGCCAGGAGCCGGTGCTGTTTGCTCGGACGGTGGAGGAGAACATCACCTACGGCCTCAGCGACGTCTCCATGGAGGCCGTGGAGCAGGCGGCCACCAAGGCTAACGCTCACGAGTTCATCAGCTGCCTCCCTACAGGCTACCAGACAAGTAATCACTTAACAGTTCACCTATTTTTGGGTTCCGATCCTTTAGGCAGCATCTCTCTTGTTCAATGGGTTTTATTTTATTGGATTATTGCAGAAAGTTATCTCAATGTTTATGATACTTACAGTACACGTTTAGTTCATTACATTACATTACATGTCACTTGTTAGACGCTTTTATCCAAAGCGACTTACATACTCAATAATGTGGGTAACCCTCACAGGAGCAATTTGGGGTGAAGTGTCTCAGGGACACAACGCAACCCAGTCTCACGGCATTTCGTGTTCACCAACACGATTTTTAATCTATTGATTCGTGTTCCCCAACACGATTTGCCCCTTTTTTCCGTATTGCACAGCACGATTTTTTTTCGTGTTGCACAGCACGATTTTAAAAGCAATGTATTTCTACTGCTTGCAGCACGTCTTTTTCTCCGGTCGGGTCGAGGAAGACCTGAAGCTGTGTGGTTCATAAAAACATGTTCTTACTCAATATCAAGTCACAATTATTGCTTTTATTTTAAATCGTATAATTTCGGACTTTTGTTGCCGTCTGTGAGGAAAAGAAATGGGGCTCAGAGCCTCAGAATACTGAAATCTGTATTTTTTAAATATTTGTTTCCTTCTAATTTGTTATTCTTTTCAAAATAACACACTGTTATTTACTCACCAATAATACACAATTATGCTTGATTTTATTTATTGGTTTAATTCCATAATCTCGGCCTTTTTTGGCGTCCGTCAGGGACTGAATTTCAAAATAAAAATAACCGGACATAGGCATTACCCAAGATCCTCAGCTATGGTTTTAAGCTCGCTTATTGGATGTTTTAGCCGCAATGCATGCTGGGATTTGGTGTTTATATGATATGAAATCCGGAAAACATTTGTGTACCTTGTGTGCATCTAGTGGTTAAAGCACGTTATTGAATTATTGTGTTTGATTACAAAAATATTAAGAGTACATACTTTCATAGGGGGAAAGTATAAATATAGAAATATAAGTAGTTATACACATACCACTTTCGTCTCATTAGTATGCATAGAAAGTGACAGGTCACACCTCTCCCTACTTATTAAGCCCCGCCCACTTCCGGCTAAACCCCGCCCACTTCCACCGGAAGTCCCGCCCACTTCCACCGGAAGTCCCGCCCACTTCCACCGGAAGTCCCGCCCTCCATAAGCCCCGCCCCTTCCACCGGAAGTCCCGCCCCACTTCCGGTTTTTCAAATAAAATTAAAAAATATTTTAAAAATGATAAAAATAAAAATGCTGCCCCTACCGGTCACCCCCACTTCCGGTTTTTCAAAATAAAATTAAAAAATATTTTAAAAATGATAAAAATAAAAATGCTGCCCCTACCGGTCGCCCCGCTTCCGGTTTTCAAAATAAAATAACATGAAATGTAACAACCATATATTTTAAAAGTAATGTCTCAGCTCTAAAGAGCAAGGTCCCGCCACCTAACCACTTCCTGTGCCCCTGTATACAGCAGTATTGACTGTAACTTACAAATACTTGCAAATAACATGAAATATACAACCATATATTTTAAAAGTAATGTCTCAACTCTAAAGAGCAAGGCCCCGCCACCTAACCACTTCCTGTGCCCCTGTATACAGCAGTATTGACTGTAACTTACAAATACTTGCAAATAACAAGAAATATACAACCATATATTTTTAAAAGTACTGTCAATCTCACTAACTCTCTCTCGCTCTCTGCTATTCTCTGCCGTGAAAAGTTTGGTGAACAGTCAAGACAGGTGTGGGGGCCATAAAACCCCCAGACATCCTCTGCGGGACAAATGGTGGGGCGATGGGGAGGACACACACACACACACACACACACACACACACACACACACACACACACACACACACACACACACACACACCACTCACCCCCTCTTCCGTTCAGGATGTTTCTTTTCAAGTTTTTGTGAAACTGCTAAAGAAGTATTTGTTTTGCAAAAGAGGTTATTTTCAAAAGATCTTATTTAGGTTTTAATAGTGATACCTAAGGGTATTCTCTTTCAGTATATGGATTTGTGAACTAATGTGTAATTACTTTTATTAACTATAATTGCACAGGATCATTCTAAGAAGAGTGAGAGGGCTAATGAGCCAGCACCATACCTCCTCTATGCATTTTCTTGACCTGTATCTGATCATGAAAAACTTGACTCTTTTTAAAAAGTTATTTTTCATCTATCATTTTCAACCATGCAACAAGAGATCAAATTTAAGAATAAGTAATAGTTTGTCACGATTTTACGGGAAATAGTCAGTGCGCAATGTCACATCTTAAAGACAGCTTTAACTGGATAAATGGTTAGTCTTTTTTCAAAACATACCGTACGTTCTGCATGTTAGTATATTTGGTCAATCGATTAGACCCTACTGCCCTAAACGCATGCCCTCAATAGGGAAGTCACGCTTTGGGAAGAGGTGTTTCATTTCACAGATCCACCTTGATTTGTTGTTGTGAGGGGTGAAGGAAGAGGGACGGGGGAGGAAAATTCAGAGGATGAAAAAGCAGAAAACATAACTTGTTTTTGTAAAACGGTCAGCACGTCAGTTTCAAGAAAGACGTTTGCATACATAAAAAAGTGTATCTTACAGTTCCTTTTGTGAGAGAATTACACACAAATCTGCAGAGTGTCACTAAAAAGTTGTAACACAGGGACTGACATTCTGTATGGGGTTTCACACGGACACAAAGTCTACTTCATTATCTACTTTGTCAGCTTTTATACACAAAAGTGTATCTTTCAGTAACTTTCTCAGAGAATTTAAGCATAAATCTGTCAAAGATTCTTAACGAAATCTACTTCATTATCTACTTTGTCAGCTTTTATACACAAAAGTGTATCTTTCAGTAACTTTCTCAGAGAATTTAAGCATAAATCTGTCAAAGATTCTTAACGAAATCTACTTCATTATCTACTTTTCAGCTTTTATACACAAAAGTGTATCCTTCAGTAACTTTCTCAGAGAATTTAAGCACGTCAGTTTCAAGAAAGACGACAATAATTAGTAGTTAGACATTTTGGAGAAATGTTCTCTGTCGTTCTTAATGCAAAAACAAATCATCTCTACTCCCTTTGGGTGAAGTCCAGGAATGTTCTCGGGGGGAGTGGACACTTGCTGTTACATGGCATAAAGCTTCTGCAGTGTGCCAATAAATGTATAGTTTCCCTAAAGCTCCATACATTTACACATATTGACTAATGACTCAGCACATGAGGGGTAAATACAAAACAAATCTAAATATCACCAATTATTCCAGAATGTGACTAGAATAGAGTCTAGAGAATGGACCCAGGCTTTGTCTTCAGCCATCAACTAAATAGGGGCGTGCTTTTTTTTTTTGAATCACCAGTATGCTACTCACCATTGAAGACAGTGTTGAGGGGGCAAGCAAAGTGTACTCAGCGGCAGATTGCATGGAAGCAGAAAGGCCTGGCTCAGACACCATGTCTCCAAAGGTTGACGGGGAACTTCCAACCAGTTCCATCACCTGTTTAGCTTGAGGGAATTTAAACACCATTAAAAATATGGATTACAGAAAAACAATATATGTAGTAAATCGGGTAATCATTAATAAGGGGAAAATGTGCAAGTCTAACCTGAGTCTGGCATGAGCACTTGATCAATAAGGTGGATGACAATGTCCTTCTTGAGCACCATCTTGATGCCATTGACTGTTAAACTCTCGCCATCACAGCCTTGAAATCAAAGTAACGCTTCTAAAAACATATATTTTAGAAAAGTAATGTTAGTCATGTCAAGTTATCAAGACTGCTGTGTTTCATCGAAACAGTGTACAGAGCAGAAAGGGGAACATTTGTCGCCACATTAACATACCGACTCCTCTATCAGTTTTTGCATACATAAAAAGTGTATCTTACAGTTCCTTTTGTGAGAGAATTACACACAAATCTGCAGAGTGTCACTAAAAAGTTTTACACAGGGACTGACATTCTGTATGAGGGTTTCACACCTGAGCTGCTGGGGGGAGGGCGTTGAAAAGGGGGTGAGTATGTTTGGCTCTCTGGTGGGTTAAGAGTCACAGTCTTAAAGAAAAATCTGGTCAGAAAAAGTACTTAACTTTCTACCAGTTGTAAATTGTCATACATATAAAAAAAGTAAGAGAATTACACATAAATCTGCAGAGTGTCTGTAAAAAGTCTCAAAATCACAAACTGCAGACGCCTCAAGGAGAGACTTGAAAAGATCCATGCCGAGTGGGGGGAGAAGAAGAAGACTAATAACCAGCAGTTGACTGAAGCCAGGGACTTTTTTCTTTAAAGTAAAATAAAAATGGGAAACTACTATGCAAAACGCTCTGTATATATTGATCAGAATGTAGTCAATACCCTTTTAATAAGTGTGGTGATGAGGACGATTGAAAACAGAATGAGTAGTGACCCCTGTGTAAACAGAATGGCTGAAGTTTGTAAACTAGAAGACATTTTGGCTATCGTGCGTTCTGGCAGTACTATCCCCGGTCATTGGGAAACGATTGTAAACGAAACATTTAAAGTGGTCCTGGAATCTTCATTTTCCGAAACATTCTGTAACATTATCTCAGAAATGAAACAAACATCAAAAGTGTATCATGTGCTATCAGTGTATGCTCTGTTTGTAGATGTAATGCATCTCTGTGCAGAAAGCAGCATACACATGAATATTCTGACTGAAGTGAAAAAACTCCATCACGATATCTCCAGTCATATGGGGAATTCTAAGCTGGAGACGGTCCTGCGGATGTTGCAATCAGTATAACTATTTGATTTTGGGTGTGAAAAATAAAAAAGTGTTTTTTACATTTAAAAACTGTTGTCTTCATTATAGCAAGGGGGAGCGTGTCTGATACATGTGTATTACAGTCCTTCTTTTTGTGTTTTTCAGTGTTTTTCTGTGTGTCTGTGTGACAAAGCACAAATCATTTCAAACAAACCCTGAATCAAATTTAGAGAGGACCATTAAGAGTCAGATT